AATTCTATTCAAAGACGGTAAAAAAAATAAATTATATAAGTAAAAGCAATAAGAATAGTTTAAATTACGTCATATATTACGTAGTAAATTATTTAAATTTTATTAAAGTATATAAGTGTGGTAATAAATAATAATAAAGAATTTATTCAAATTTATTCTACGAAGAATTAAAGTATTAATAGAGGATTAATTGAGGATTAATTTAGAAATATTTAATTAAATTAGTTATTTATTTCAATATATTATATTTATTATACGTTCTATATATCTTCTCTATATTATTTGACTATTTTATACTACCTAAATAAATATATATTTCCAAGATATAAGATATTAATTTTAAAAATATTTTAATATATTTAAACCTTCTTTAATATATATAAATTTATTTATTAATATTTTTTATATTGACTTTTAAATATATATTTACTATAGTAAATTAAATTTATTTATTTATAATTATTCAATATTAATATTTTGTCTTATATTTATATATATTTTTAAATTTTTATTTACTATATAAGATTTTCTTTTTATACTACTATTAACTTTTTAAATTATATAAAATTCATTTTATTTTATTAAATATTATATTTTATAATCTACTTAAAACTATTTTTTTATATTATATATCAATTCTACAATAAATAATTTACTATAATACGTTTATTAATAATTCTTTATAATTATACAATAATCTAATATATAAATTATCTTTTATACTACTTTTAAATATTAAAAATTAATATAAAAATATTTATAAATTTGGACTAGCCTTAAATATATCTACTTTCCAATTATATTTATTTTTAGTTTAGACTTTATTAAATAAAGGTAAACTTTATATTACTTACTAAATTTCTTATAAAATATTAATTTAAATCTCTCTATTTAAACCTATTAATATCCTTAATATTCTAATAAAGTTTTCTTTTAAATTTTTTCTAAAGAAAAAGTTTATAATATAACACTACCTTTATATAGAAAATTTAACTTAATTGTAAATAAATTGAATTTACTTAAAATTAATCCTTATTTTCTTATATATTATATCTTTAATACTATAATAGTTTTAATTTTATACTAATTATAAACTTATTTATAATAATAGTTAATGTTTTATTTAAATAAATTTCACTTCTTATATTAGAACTTATATTTGTTTTTTATTCTTTTCTCCATTTATAATCTACTTAACCCTATTTTGCTTAATTAATATTTTTAATATTCCGAAAACAAATTAGTTTTTTAAATAAAGTTTTTATAATAAAATTAGTATTTATATTATATAAATACTGGACTTTCCTTTAGAATTTATAATACAAAGATCTAGTATTATATTATAATTATTTTATTTAAACTTTTAATATTATTTATATTAAATTCATTTATTTAATATTTATTCTTACTATTTATAAATATAAGAAATTTAATACTATAATATTTAAAATATTGAGCCGGTTCTAAACATATTCGTAATTTCGATTTTAGTTACTAGTAATAATTATATTTACTTACTATACATCAACTATAATATTACTTCTTAATTATATCTCTAATATATTTATTATAAAATTTAGTATTATAATTAATATATATTAGTATTCGATTGAGTAGTATTTAATAATTAATAAAAAGTTGATTATTTAATAATATTTATCTAATTATATATATTTAATAAGTATAAGTGTATATAATATATTAAAACTTATATATTATTCTCATAAATGTAATAAAAACAATACTATTAGTTACTTATTGATATTCTAAATTAGAATATAATTTAAGTATTTATTTTAATATTCTTATCAATCTACTAATTTAAATTTTTAATAAAGTAAATAATCATTATATTAACTTTTAATTTGAATTATTTGAATTTTTCCTAATAGTAATCTAACTATATATATTAATTTACATTATTAAATATATATAATACATTACCAAAAACAAGATTCTAATATACTTACTTATATTATATTATATTATATATTTTAGATTTGTATTTTTATTTCCTAATCTATTTATTATATATATTATATAAATAATATTCTAATATTTATACCCTTTAAATTATTTCTATAATTAATTATTATTTAATATTTAATATTATTTAAATTCTTTTAATAAAATTATTTAGAAGAGTTAATAATTAATATATAGGTTACAAAAAGATATACTAAAATTATATATTAATTTATAAATATTTTTATAATAGGAAAGATATATTGAATTTACTATTTATATAACTAATATAAATAGACTTCTTTTTTTTAATACTTTAGTAAAGTTAAACTAAGAATTTGTATAGGACTAGTCCGTAATTAGTCCTAGGCCGGTCCGGGACACGTTCATATATTACGGCCTAGTATAGTAAGTTACAGTCTTATTTTACAACCTAGTATAATATTTATAATTTCAAAGATCGGTCTAGGATTAGTCCGGAATAGGTTCTTACTGTACAGTATATTTAATAATAATAAGAGGATGGGTTTAATATAATTATTAAAGAATCTAGTATCGGCTTAGTTCTACTTACAGTGTAGGGTAAATGTTTTAGCGTAGTCTTGGCGCTCCGTGTGTAATCCGAGGTTAGACCTATGTGTGAGGTGATCTGGGTGCTCGGATAAATCCGATACAACGAAGTGAGACTTTAATAATAGCACACAGGGACTAATAACCACCGCGTTAAGTTCAGACATCTTCCATACCGAGTAAGATGTAGTGAAGGTAGAATATCAACTGCGATGACGGGGAAGACAGGAAGAAGACTGACAAGCACGGGGTGCAAGTGCAACGTTTTTTTTTTCATCATTTTCTTTGCCTTTCTTTTTTGGGGGGAGCAGAAATCATGAAAGTAACCACTGTGCAATCGTTTTAAAAAGTCCCGTCTTTGAGAAACGCAGATGGAAAAGCGCCTAGATACACCGCAACGGAAACGAAAGCGATCCCGTTCGTGTCGGTCATAAAATGTTTATCGTCAAGGAGCTTTAATCCCTTATGAGCACTAGCGAGGTAGCACTCTGTTAACACATAGCAAGCCCTGATAAACATATACCTACTACGCAAATTTGGCCGTGTGACCGTCCATCCATGGTATGATATGGGTGTAGTAGCCGGGTGTCGCAGTCGTAGTCATGTCACAGCACAGCGAGATTTCATCCCGTGTGTAGTTTCGTGGTGTTGTGGGCTTTGGCTTTCCATAGTTATGTTGTTCCTCACACACAGGCTCCTAGATAAGAGATTCATTGGTCAATTTCTGCGCTGGCCACCCCAATGGTCCCGGGCAAGGCCTTGTCAAGCAGTCAAGACAGTTTGTGGTTGTGCAGCATCACAGCCCGCCGCGTCAGCACGTTATTCGTTCGCAAGTCTGACGTGAAGGGAGCGGCCGGTCGGCCTGTTAATCCTACGAGTGTCCCTGTCCTTGGGTTCTGTCTGGAAACTGACAACAAACAAGGCTCTCCAAGATGACAGTTATCTGTAGCCGAGCTCAAGCCTCGAAGCCATATCCCATCATTTGCCATGTACAGCCGTGTTGGGCGCTCAAGACTCTCTGACAGCATTCAGCCCAAATATCGCGATACTCGCCTAATGCGACTCACAAGGTTGAGATGTCCAATAGGCTTGAGCCTTGATAACGTGGCGTACCGTCCGTCTCGTGTGGCAGTCCAACCGAAGGGAAAAAGG